AAAAGTATAAGAAAGCTAACATCTTTCTTCCACCCTTTTTTCTTAAACTCTTCCTTGCCAACTCCTAAGATAAACAGCCTCAAATGTTTGGTATTTAACATCTAAACTGACGTTTGTGTTTCTATTTAAGTGTGGTTAACAATTAAGAAGTTAAAAGCTTGTTATTGTTGGTCTCAAACTTTTTATAGGACATTAATTGTTCACAATCAGGTGTACTCTATAGTCAATTTTGTATGATTTGTAAAATAAATGATCGCATATTATGGTTCAAATCAACATTCACTGACTGAGAGTTACTTTTTGTGTCCATTCATWYTTRCACTAAAGAAATGTTTATCCAAACATTAAAAGAGATCCTTGCTAATTAAATTACTCTTATAACCTTGTTATAAGAAGTGTAAGCTGACCCTTACACGTAAGATGTTCAGGTCCAAAAACCACAACCTCTGTCTTATTTTAGTTTAGAAGCAGGAAATCTAGTTTTTTATGTCCTTAAGACAATGGACATTAACTTTACCTAATGGAAGCATATATAAAGTAAAAATATTGGTCCAAGCACTGAACTCTGAGGAACTCCATGACTAACTCTGGTGTAAGAAGATTCATTATTAATATTAACTAACTGGAATCTATCAATTAAATAGATCAATTAAATAGGTTTAATATAACTTTATACATGTTCACTTGTCTCTGGTCTCTGGACATCACATGATCTGTAATATTGTATGTAAAACTAGAAGCACTCGGAGAGTGCAAACCTCCACCAAGACCAATTTCCCCCATCCTGTAATAGAGTTAATGCGCAAAAGCAGAGATGGAAACACATTTGCCGAATAAGTTCTGACGTAGCGAACATTTAAGCAGCAGTATGCACAGAATTTCTTCCTGGTGGAGTCCAATGTGAAAAAAAGTCAGACTCATCACCCGATGTTATTCATCGTCAAACTGGTGTGGGATTAAGCTCCTAAGTTTTCATCAGTCACATTTCACCATGTAAAACGTCAGTTTCATCCCCTTGTATGAGTTTGTAATGGTTTGACTCTCTTTATAAAGTGCTTCGTGGTTCCCCCGTCTCCAAACTTTGAGGCCCAGCAGCTCTTTGTTTACAAGACTAGTAGCGAGAAACTGTTTTGATTAGTTGTTTCGGAAATGTGGTGTGGTGTTTTTGAGGAAATGGGAAAAATAGGTTTCATGCTGCAGTCACGCACTTCCTGGTCACAAAACGTTCTGTAAATGCGCATATTATGGCAAAAAATTATTCATCAATAAATGTGGTTTTAACATTACTTTTATAAAGTTTGAAGTCCTTGCTGTCCAATCCAGCTCACTGTTTTTTTATAGAAGCCCTGTGAAAGCATCACAGCTTTGCCGATCTCAGAGTGTTAAAAGAAAAAAAATTCCTGTATCTGCATCGTGATCYGGAACCACCAAAATTTAAAGATGTGTTCCTTGGCCCAGTACCCACATGTGGTAAAAATGTCATGACAATTCGTCCACAAGTTTTTGAGTAATATTGTCCACAGACAGAACGACAAAATGACAGACAGACAGACAGACAGACAGACAGACAGACAGACAGACAGACAGACAGACAGACAGACAGACAGACAGACAGACAGAC